TGTTTTTATGTAAGGCTTAATACAATTTTAATTTTTGTTAAATACTTAATACGAAGAGTTGCATGAGAAAACGTTGAACGATAAGGCGTAAATGTATTATTCAATTGGCTGAGGAAGCGATCAGACGATGTCTACATTCGCTGCGACCAAGTACTGCAGAAGAATCGAGTGAAGTTTGCATACAAAGCACTGTTTTGACCGATCGCTTCTTAGCCCGTTCGCCCGTAAGTCTCCTTTTTATTGCGGCTAGCGTAATTTCAAGGAAACTCGTCGCAGCATAATTGGCCGCTTTGTATCTGTCCACTCTAAACGTTTTTCCCGGGGATACTCCATTCTATGGGACACTCTGTGCTCTCCGCAGAGGCGATACACGTTGTTACGGCTTCTTCTTCCCTCTCGGTGATATCCCAGTTCCACGGTTTTGTACTCTAAGCTCACGGTTTAAGCCCCGGAAGCCCCTCAAATTTTGACGCTGCTCGAGAGAGAGAGATCGTATCTGTTACTACCGGAAATCCCTCTGTATTCCCCGGAGAGCCCACGGCTTTCCCGAGACGAAGGAACTTCCGTAATCCCCTGTCCGATAATAAAAATAGTCTCATAAGTGTTCTTGTTAATCACTTCTCATACCTTTACCGTTTTTAATCGAACCTCGAGTTCCTTATACTTTTTATTTAAAAGCATTCGATGGCCTCATGTTCATTCATTCCACTGCATTAATCTTCTATTAACGTTCCACATTAAATCCAAGTGGAATGTACAGTCTATCTACGATCATCTACGATCTATGACTCATACTTAAGAGTTAAACAAAATAAAATGTCATTGCTTATAAATTAATTCGCCCAGTGTTTAAAAGTTCTCGTTGAACGATTGCTCGATGACATTTACAATATGTAAGCGCGTCGATAAATTTATTAATAACCGCGAGGGAAGCTTGTAACTCGTGCGAGGATGAAACAGGCGGTACATAAGTGGGATGCCTCGTAGACGGTTTTGCATACACGCATCTAGATGCTAGATGCATCTGCGTGCAACCCGTGTAGGACGTGCACGCATGCACGAACGGGTTCAACGAGCGCCGAACGACGACGACGATCCCTGACACCGCCCCCGTTGTCCCTTCGCGATGACACACCGTTATCCGTGATCGAACATAATCGAGGGCTCGTGTTCCGTCGCTGTTGAGCATCGCAATTAATGGACAAGTTGTGCAAATACCGGGATCCTATATATAGATCGTTAAATATCGATCGCTGGAGAACGTCGACTGATAATTATGATACGATAAGGTTCCGGATTATTGATCGTCTTAGAACGGGTAATACGCGCGGCTAGGGGAAACTGGGTTCGTGTTAAAAAATGAATTCTAAGAGTGGCACTACCTCATTCATTATGAAATACCTAAGTAATAACGTGTGGAATATTTTACTGGCTCGGATTCGAGAACATCGCGTTAAAAATCTTTTTGAACCTCTTCATACACAGACTGCATTTATAGACGATGTGATCTGCGGAGAATCAGAGCTCATACAGCCAGCATTCTCATATGTAAGTACAGATAATAACTTTTGAAGAAAATATAATTTTTCCATTCTTGGATGTTATCTAAAAAACTATAAGAGTAGGAAGTGCAGAGGTAAAGGTAGTAAAAAGGTAAGTGGAGGAGGTGAAAGAGGGGGAATGAATAGGAAATGTAAAACTAAGTCCATTTCTGGGTCGAAGAGGCTGAAATAAAGAATTTATACAATATTTTCATTCTTTAAATTGATAACCACGAATATATTTGCTGATGAAGTCGTAAGTTTCAGCGGATTAGCGAGAGCTAGTCATTCCAATTGAAATTACATTAGGTCCTGAATTCTACAGTTATTATCAGATTTCAACATGAAATATCGTGTGCCTGATCAATCATCTTACAGCGATTAATCACTCGAACGCCGACACAGCTGTTCGATCTTTTTAAATGAACACCTTGATGAATCGTACGAAAGGAAAAATCTTTTCCATTCTATTTAACCCGTTCTTACTTTCAAATCTCGATGGACCAGTAGCGGTCGTGCGGACGACTGTGGTTTATCTTATTCATACGAGCTCGGGTTTTGTCGCAAAGATATTTCATAGATCCCTGGTTCTGTTCGACCGAATTCAATGGAGGTCGCGAGGCTCCGAATGAAATGGGGCCATTACCTTCGTGACCTATTATCGCATTGTCACGGGACAGCTGCGAACAATACAGGTGTATTGGAATTGGAACCGGGGACAAAAGAGCGCTTCAACGAAAGAGAAAGTATTAACATATTGGGTCACCAGTTGCTAAACGTATTCACAATTAGAACGCGAATACTCCAACGCTCGAAACGTTTAATTAATAATGATCATACCCGTACATATTAAATTCTATAAAATACTTCGTATTTAATGTTTGATATAATTAT